TTCCATCTGGAGTCAAATGATTAAGATTCAACAATCTGGGTCAGTATCATTCAGAACTGTCTTGAGGCTGCAAACAGGCGGCAAACCGGAATGCCGCCATACGGAACCTCTGCCACCAGAGCAGCGACTCCAGGGCTGAACATACTCGGTTTGGAAAAGAGGTGGAAACCGAGGAGGGCTCCAAGAGAAGCCTGTAAGGTCACTACTGGCATGCAGAGAGTGAACAGGATACTGCTGCAGCCAAAAGCAAAAAATGAATTCAGAGAAGAGAGTTCACGGGGGACTGGTCGATCTGACAGTCTTGGATACATTCMTCACTCAGGAAGCTTGCAAATCGCTGATTTTCCGGGATCAGCAAATTTGACCTGAAGGGAAGTTCACTCCATACTCTCCAGTTTCTTTCTCTTCTCTCTTTGCCTGAGCACTTGTTAACTGGGGATGCCTGGCCTGGGCTGGATGGATCTTTCCTTTGGCCTGCTGTGGTCCTGTCTGTGCTCTGAAGTGACATCCTGCACGGCACAGCACCGTTTGGGAAGAACCTGCAAAGCTTAGACAGAAAAATAGCAGCTGCCTAGAGTGTAGCCATCCTACAAAATGTAATGAAACACCACAATCTCACACAAAATCCTATGAAATGGTTAAAAAAAAAAAAAAAGTTTCCACTTCAAAGATACTCTAAATCAGTTTTAGGGATTTTTTTTTGTTTTTTTGGTTTTTTTTTGGTGTACAACCTGATTTAATTCCCATGAAAAAAAAATGACTTCATCCCTGTCTAATTCTGCAAAACTTTGTAAAAAGGATTTTTTAATGGATCCCATATTCCTTCAGGCTTTCTGCACAGCCCTAAAAATAGAAAAAAAAAAAAGAAAGAAAAAAGAAAATCTGACTACAGGGGATTTAATGCGCCAAGGATGTAGTTTGAGGTTGGCACTGAAACATTTGCTGTTTCCAAACGAGTTAGACAGGAAATTTGTTCACTCTCCCCCTATTCAGTTTCACAACAAACTCTGGACTGAAGAGGCTGTGAAGGAACTTGCTTCCCCCACAGAGTCAAAGCACATCCTACCGCTGCTCCTTCTTAAAGGTTCTGTGAAATCCTGGACTTTACCACTGTAACGCAGAGGCTGCAGCTGAAACTCCTGGGAATAATCCAGGAGAAGCTGCAAACAGGCCAGCAGCTCCCGCGGCCGGGCCGGGCACTGTGAGGGCGCCCGTCCTGCGCACGCCTGGCCCACCAAGTGCCAATGCTCTGGCCGCTCCTTGCTTTTGGATATTAACGTACACTGGGATCAGGATCTAAACACATGACCTAAACGCAATTTTAAAGCACAATCACTTCCCACAGAACAAGAGCCCATCCAAAGCCCCACACCTAGCAGGGACCACAGCTAATTCCTCCCCGCAAGCCAAGGAGCAGTGCCAGGAACCTGCAGGGGACACGAGCGGCCACTCGCTGTCCAGCTGCCGCTGCCCTCCCACACGGAGCAGGGGAAGAGCGGCCAGGCCAGCGCCGGCTCACGGGGCTCGCGGGGCTGGAGCAGGTCCAGGGATCCCCGTGCCAGACGTGGCCCCCTCGCACCGTGCTCAAGGGCCCTAATTCCCCTCCACAGAGCTGGACTGAGGCTGCCAGGCCTCTCCCTGGGCAAGGAGGAGGAGGCTCACACAGCCCATGTTCAGCCGCACGCGCCATTCCCAGCGCAGTCATTGCTGCAAAGCTCCATCTCCCTCAGCAAACTCCAGGGATCCGGGCATGTCACAACCCACTGCCAGAACAAGCTGTATCCGACAGGAACTCGCCTCCCTTGAAGCAAAAGCGGGTGCAAACGTCAGCCAATTAAGCCTTTTCCCACCTACGTCGCAGCAGCTCCAAAAGCCAAACGGGATCCCGATAGAGCTCGCCGGGAGTCTGGCTTTGGCAGCTCGAAACCCTCCGTGTTAAAACGTTAGGAAAGCCAGCGGGGCTGCGTGGGTGCCCGAAGGCGCCCTGCGGATACCAGCTGCTTGCRCGTGTCCAAGGGAAGGGAAGAGATGGGAAGGGAGCCCCCGGCGGCGAAGGCTCCCCCTCCTGTCCATCCTGCTTAGTGACAAGGGACGCCCACAGCTCAGTTCAAGGTTTCAGTTTGGAAGGGAGGGAGTTTTTTAAACCCCTCATATATACAATGGCCATTAAAGAGTTTTGCTTGCTTTTTTTTTTAAGGTAAATCACATACTTGTAGAGAACTCATGGATAAAGACTTATCCCCAAACACGTATGGCTGCGATTGCAGCTCCTCCTTTTCATCATACCTGCAAGAATGTGCTTTCCCAGCAGCAGTGGCCAGGACACCATGGGAGTTTTAAGTCACTGGTAACTTCTAGAAAACTTGGCCCATATCCTGAGCATGATGATACCCCCGTGGTTGAAGATACGTGGGTTTGATGCAGGAATCCAGCACATGGCACCATCCCATTGCTCTGCTCTCGGTGTCTCAGCTCTTGGGGACCTCTGGGGCAACTGCACCAGGTCAAGAACTACCTGTAAGTGGCTTTTGGGACCTCCCTGTCCTTTAAGCATCAGGACAGGAGAAACTTAATGATCATGTGCGTATCTGGCCAATCTTGTGTGTATCTGGCCAATCATCTGTGTATCTTCCCCAAAAATGAAAAAAAGCATCAGCAACTACGACCCCAAAGTCCCATGGGGATAGGTAACAGGTATGAAGGCAGAAATCCCAACCTTGGCTTTAAGGCCAAATTAGATGACTTGGACCCAATTTCTCCAAGTCCCCAGGTTCCTCTCTGCATTGCTAAACAAAACAGGGGCAGTGGCCACCAGCTGTTCTGGAGGCCAAGAGGGAAAAGTGGCCGTGTCTGCACCACGTCGCACTTGGTGTGGGTCACCTCACTGCGATGTCCCCAGGGCACGGCTGCTACCTGTGGTGGGAGCAGGGGATGGACATTCACAACTGCAGACCCAATGTGGAAGTTTTGCTCTAGGCCACAGCACTGACTGTTAGAGCAGGAACCTGAGGGCGTTCAACACTGGCTCTGGGGCAGTGCTCAGGGGGGTCACCAAGAACACGAGGCCCCATGAGGAAGTCCTGGCAGCCCAGGAAGGGTAGCGGGAGCCAAGRGAGATGGGGAGCAGGGGAAGCTGAGATACTGCAGCACGTGGCATCACACAGGTGGCCCCGGGACACAGACACCCTGGTACTTCCTGCCCTTCCGCCCCATCCCAAGGCGCCTGATGAGCCTCGCCCAGGAACTGATCCCTTTATTCCCTGTGCTAATCTGAACATCCCTTTCACTCCTACCTATCCAGCACATAATGAGAGTCATTTCCCTAAACTTCCTCAAGGTAGGTCTGGGCTACCGTGGAAATGGTTGCTGCCAAAGTGCCTTGTATTTACTGTGTGCCACTAGGATTAAAGACTCGGGAAGATTTCTGACCTTTCCAGAGCTTTAATTTTGTCAGTTTTATTCGTGGCAATAGCAATCCCTGCCGAGACTCCCTGCTTGCAGCCGCTGCCTCCCAGCACGAGGGATGACACACACAGTGAAACCAGCCCACAGAAGGATCTCGCAGGGCAGAGTGGAGGCCTCACAAAGTGGAAAACAAACTCATGACTTGCACCACGTGCCTCAGAGGAAACCCTCTCAGTAGCAGCGAGCTTTGAGAAGGAGAATAGGTATTTCGCTGTACACCAACAACACTGCTCTCTTTTTCTTAAATAAACTTGAAAGAGGGCTGGGAGGCAGCAGTTGCACTTAACAATCTTGCATGAAAGCTGCTATGTTTAGGCTTTCCAAGTAACATCCTTTTTCTTCCTTCTCCTCTCGTTTTTTTTTCATCCTGTGCTGTCTTGCTGGARCACCAAAGAGCTGCTACGTTAGTGCTGTAAAAATATCTCCCAAAACGCAGAGCTGATTTGGAAGCAGAAAGCTGCAGTTGTGGGACACTGCAGCATCTGCTTTAGGATGTCATTTTTATATTTAGCAGCAGCCTATAGCTCCATAGATGAAACACAGACGGGAAGCCATCAAGTAAGAACTCCATGTTGGAGGTGGGGGTTTGCTGTTGTTTTTTTGGGGATGTTTTTCTGTTTTTTCCCCCACCTTGGGTCACGGGGCCCGGTGTGTACACGGCATGACACATGCACAGAATCATGCGATAAAATCAGGGGAGCCCCCAAGACATGAAGTTCGGGGTACAGCTCCAGCCCGTGCGGCCGGACGGTTCTGTCTGTGTCCCCTGGCCTGTTTATGAGCAGATGCCCACAGCAAGAGGGCAGTTAACGTGCAAGACAGCACAGGCGGTCTCTCCAATTAGGCAACTGCATCACCGCTTGGAGCAGGCGGCCCAATGAGCTAAAAATGAGTGAAATCTGCCTGTGTGTAGATGTTGTATGAGACCTGCCCAGGTGGATGGGATCTGTAGCCCCTCCTCCTTTCCCCCTGTAGGCGCAGGCTGCCCGGGGCGAGCAGGAACACTCTCGGCAGCACGAGGCAGCACGAGGCAGTGCAGCATCGCCGGCTCGGGCACAGCACGGCCAGGACAAATCAGGGCACAGACCTCATAAAGAGAGGTCAGAGCAACAGCCGCAGCAATAGCAGGACAGCTGCGGAGACGGGTGCGAGGGGGAAAGGGCAGAGMGGGGAGGACCAAAGCGTGCGAGCTCCCCAAGCAGAGCCATCAGTTTTGGCACTCACCCTGAAAGGAAAGGCACTGTCAGCACTGCAAAGCATGCAGGAAAATCTTTAGCTGGCAATTGGCAAATTTATCTTTTCCAGAAAATATYTGGAAGAATGGAAAAGGTCCCAACAGAGACAGATAAGGAACAGAACGTTAACAGGACTGATACAGTTCCTGGGGCCATTTAACTCATCTCTCCAGCACATGGTTCACTGTGTTCCCTCATCTTGGAAGAGAGTTGTTGAGCGAACCCAGAGCCTGGAAGAACCCCAGAACAGCTCTCTCTACAAAAGCAAATGCCATTTTCCTGAGAATAAAATTGCCTTACCTGAGTAGTTTTCGCCCTTCGGCCCTGCATGCTGCTGCTGTGGCTGAGCTGCGGGTTGGTGGCCCCTTCCGAAAGGCAGTGCGACTTCCTACAGGGGAGCGTGTTGTAATTACTGTAGGACGGGGCATCCTCGGCAGCGACCGACGGCATCTTATGGCTCCCAAGATCGGGAATGTCGGACACCAGATTCCGGCAGTAGCCGCCAAAGGCGTTTCGCGGGCCTCCGTTGGCGGCCGCGCTCGGCGCCGCGGGTGAGTACAGGTCACTCATGGAGGTGGCGCGCTGGGCGGGCAGCAGTGGCTGGGGGCTGCCACCGGTCTCGGTGCTGCGCGCTGCCTCACCCTCCTTCTCCTCCGCCAGGCCCAGGATCTCCTCGTTGCTCGTCAGGTGCTCCTGGCTGAGGTCGGAGAGCGAGAACTCCAGGCTGTCCTCGCGCCAGATGTCGGCAGACTTGGAGCGCTTCTTCTTGAAGCTGGCGGTCTCGGCGAAGGCCGGCCCGTTGGCCGCGTAGCGCTGCGGCCGCCCGGCGCCCTCGCCCAGGAAGGCGGCCTCGTCCACATAGAGGCGGCCCTCCTCCGAGCCCGGCATGCTCTGCACAGAGGCCGCCGTGAGCACGGTGCTGCTGTCCACGCTGGGAGTCACGGAGGAGTCGGTGTGGTAGGAGACGGGCCGCAGGCCCATGTCCACACGGTCCACCCACATGGGGCTCCCAAAGTCCTCTAGATTGGCCTCCTGCGCGAAGGGCTCCAGGCCATTCTCGGCCAGCGACTGGGGGATGCTGGGCGTGCTGCTGGAGCGGGTGCTCACTTCGGAGCTCCTGTGGATGCTCTTGCCCGAGGACGCGTGCCTGGCGCGGCGCGAGCTCTTGCTGGAGAGGCGCAGCGAGCGGGACGTGTGCTTGCGGCCCAGGCTGGTGGGCTTCTCCCCGTAGAAGGCGTGCTCCACACCCTGGCTTTCCGCGTTTCCCATGGCCTCRCGCTCTGCAAGGGGAAAGGGCAGCAGACGTTACAGCCGGCACGGGAGCGTGCCGAGGAACTGCGGCGGCCGCTGCGCAGCGGGGCCTCCCCGCACACAGCCCGTCCCGTCCCAGCCCCGTGCACGTGCGCGCGTGGACACCACGGCTGCCCCCGCGCGGACACCACTGCCGCCTCCAACAGCAGGAACGAAGCCAGCAGTGCAACCAGCCACGCCAGGAAACTCATACATATAATGCAATTAAATCTGTATATTGCAAAAAGGCAGAGCCCATTGCTGCACTGGCACACGTGAGGAGCGGACCTGGAAGACTGCTCTGAGTTTGGGTCAGTTTATCACAGAGATACTGTCTTGCAAGTAGTCATTTGACTATTAGCAGCAGTTAATCCTCCGCCACCGTGGCCAGCGCCAGGAAGTCAAGGAAGCGACAGCTCCTGTTCACCTGCATGGGAGGAGCTGCCTGAAGACAGCAGCAGCAGCATAAACGCCTTGCCCACGACTTTACTTTTCCACCTGGAACTCCAGTTCGGAGCACCAAACAGCAAAGGACAAACTCAAGTATTCGGCAGTAAGCTAATGATAGGTTTGATTTCTGGGACAAAAAATAGCGCAGCATTAATCAGGTCCTCCCACAAGAAACCCATATTATGAAAAATAAACTAGCATGAGTGACTCAGACTATACAAAAATAACCCTTCCTTCCCACTCACTCTGAAGCAGATAGCTAGATCTAAGCGCTTTGATCTAGCAAGGAGAAAACTCAGCTGGAACTGAGAGACCTGAGCGCTGGCTGCGTCTCTAGCGTCCTGCTTGTTAAGCTGTGCAAGCTCCTTCATGGAACGGTTTCTCTCTACTGAAAATGGGAGTAATGATCTGGATCAGTTTTGGAAAACACTTCGCAAACTGTGATCTTACTTGGCAAGCATCAGAAATGTTTTATTTGTAGTATTGGCTCTCTTTGAGGAAAGAACAAAAGAAAAGCAAAAAAAGAGTAAATGTTGAAGTGCATTACCATTCAAAATTAAATAAGAGAGATCCTGAAACGCACATAAGAACTCTATCTGGTGAATAAATCCATAAATCTTTAACATAAATTCCAAGCCAACTCTTTCTGGTTTTGATATTATTCTAATAATCTTGATTTAAAAAATGCTGCCTTGRTAGTAAAAAAATCTCTTTTTTATTTCTTGGGACAAGTTGTGTTGAGGGCAATTTCTTCTCCTCGGGAAGGCCATGCCGGAGGGTGCGGGGCCAGACGCTCCCAGGGTGAGTGTGTTCCCGTGGGTGCTTCCCCRTCACCCACACGCTCTCGCTGCTGCACGGGGCCAGCAATCCCCGCATACACCACACGGAAAGGAAGTGAGGGAGGGATCCCTTCTGTGAAACGTAAGCACAGCAGCTCTGCTCTAGGCTCCTCTGGCCCATATGGCAGAGCTGAACTTCCACCGTAGTATGCCTGAAAACAGTCAGAGGACAACACTTCTCAGCTCTTCCATCCTGCTAAGTGGGTCCTATTTGAGGCTAAAAATCTGTTCAGTGCTAGAGCAACAAGCACCTCCAGAAATATCTATACATTTCTGTATTTAACATAAATACAATCCCGTGTCAAGTAAACTGTACCAGGAAACACCCTACACCCACTGAAATTAACGGCTGAACTCCCATTGACTGTCATGAGATTTGGGGACCAAGCATCTTAGAGAAAGGCACTGAACACAGGGCAAGTTGTAATCTGAAAAACAACAAAACCAAATGACAGAATTCTTCACTCTTTAAGAAACAGTCCTTTGATACAGGCTAGACCGAAAACCGAATTTCAGGAAGCTCTTACTCCTAAAACATTTTAAAGCAACTCAGGGTAGCACAAAACCTGCATTTTGCCTTCTGCTGTCTAAAATCCGCACTCAGYGCTCCTGGCCTTGCAGAAGAAAGTCTCTTGGGGTAAGGCCTTTAGCTGCTCCCACTCCAAACTCRCGCTAACCACACTTCCATTTGCAAAGATTTCCACCAGCTGCAAAGCCCATCAGCCCATGCAGTCACTTTCCCCGCTCCCRAGGCAGGCAACTATTTTTCGCTACCAATTTAAGGAGAACCGGCATTGTCGTTACCAGTTCCCTGGGAAACTCAGATGATTGCGGGGTGCCCCCTTACCTTGAGGGGGCTGGAAGCTTGGCTCATGCGGATGCTTAAAAGCACCCCTGAAATGGGCAGAGGGGTGAGCCCCAAGCTCAGCTCCCCCAGGGCAGTCGCCAACACGTGGGGCAGAGACACCCCAAACTGCTGCGGCTGCAGCCGCCAYATGCTGCCCACCTGCGGCCTAGCCGAACAGAGCGCAGCCAGGGAAGAAAATCTGCACCAAATTAAGAAAATGAGCGGGGCTAATGGGAGCAAAGCGCACACGGGAGCGGGGAGCACAGAGCTGCCCTTGTCTGCGGCCGTGGAGTCCCGGAGCGGGAGCCGAGGCGCTGTCACGGTGCCTGCAGGACACCACATAAATCCCCCACTGAACAGAGCAGCCTGGCCACGGGGCCGTGCGGCGCCACATGCACCAATCTGCTCCCCATTAATCTCTGAGGACGCGCGGCAGCGCGCACGGAACGGGGACAGCGAGCAGAGCAGAAAACGCTGRTTCATCAAAAAGCAAACCAAAACAAAAAACACCTCAAGTTTTCCGGGGAAGGTGCTGGATTTGATGAAAGGCCGGAGCAGACCAAGCGGGCGCCTGTCAGGAAGAGAAGCACGGGCACATACGCGTGCCCCAGAGCCGGTGACTTGGCTGCCCGCAAAGTGAGGCAGGACCAGATGGGTATCTGCAGCCTGTGGGGCGGCTGGGCACCCAGAGGGCTGAAACTCATCCCTCCACATCCCTGGATGTGCCTGGGAAAGGGCCCACCACATCCCTGGATGTGCCTGGAAAAGGCCTCACCCTTTCCACACGTCTTCCTGGTGCACTGCGAGGAAGGAACGGGAACCAGGGAAGTCTTTGAGGGGACAGGGAAGATGCCTTTGACCCAGCTTGTACATTACGAGAGGTTAAAGGGTTTATTTTTATTTTGGAAATCCAAAATGCTATCAGCATCAGACTACCAGGAGGCCGAATGCAAAGTCTGCAGTAAATGCAAATTCTGCAGGAAAGTTTTGGAAAAAAACAGTGCTCCCTGTATGAGCTACAGGCAGTGAAGAGACTGAATTCTGGTGGGCAAGTCTTAGATAAACTAGTTCCATGCAGGGAGGAGATCAAGCCCCAGACAACCACCGATGATCAATACAGTCATTTCCTTTGCCTCCCCTTCCTCCCCCCATATAAACTTGAGTCACAAAACCGCTCACTTCAACCAGAGCTAAGAACTGGCTCTCAAATATGCAAAAAGTTGGGCCTTCACATTCCCGAGGAAAATCTGAAAGATATTAGCTTTTCATCTATATCTGAAGCACCTCGCAAGACAACAGATTGCCAATTTAAAATTAGATTCTGGTGGGAGGCCCTGGTGACAAATCGGTGTTTTTCTCYGGGAGCTGAGCTCATGGCTGCGAGCCCCAGCGCAGTGCCTAAGGCACCGCGAGCCGTGGCTCTGCAGGCAGAAGCTCCTGCTGAAAGCTGCCGGCCAGCAGCAGAGAGCTCCCCAGAACTCACAGGAACCACGGCGAAAAGTGCACGAGGCTACTGAACAGGTGTGAGCACACACACTTCAGCACAACCCAAACTCGCTTTTGCCAACAGGCAAGAGAGCGCCTGAAATTCCATAATAAGCCTCCGAGTTTCTCAGAAACTCCAGCATATTTAGTTGTTTTCAAATAAGAGCCTTTCAACCAGCCATTTCTTTCTTTTTTTTTTTTCCCTTGCAAGCCACTCTTGCATATGCTGAAGCATGGGATGGACTCCAAAAAGGCCCTGCAGGCAATTCAAATGAGAGGAGAAGGGAGAGGGAGGAAGGGATGGCATTGGGAGCCGCCTGATAGCAATTCAAATGCCTTTGTACTGCTAAGTGGGTGCAAGCACAATCCACATGCAGCCTATCCATCTTTTTCCTCTCCCTCCTACCATCACACYAAACAGCAAACTCCTAAAGAAAATATATGGACACACACATGTACCTTACAAGGCAATAGGGGTATCCAGCGCAACTTTCCCCCACAGAACTGAGGCATTTAGAGGGCTAGAATTGCAAATGATACCAAAAGGATCCCAGTTACTGGGACTGCAGAGTCTGTCAGCACCTGCCACTCAGCAACTYCATTACTCTCTCATCAGAGCCTATGACTATATGCCAAAAACCTGGGGAGAAAAGGGGGAGAAAAAAAACTCAGACAAAGGATTAGCAGGAACGGATATACAGGAGGACGTATTCTGCCAGGTCCTGTTATCATCACTTACCTAAGAAACATTCGGTACAGCATGTAAATGCTCTGTTAAGAAATTGATTTATAAAATCTGATGATATCAGAATAAATGAAAAACTCACTCAAACACTGGGAGTCCAAACTGCAGAAGACACAGAGCTCCTCTTCCCACCACTTCCTAGAATAAAAATCCATACAGAAGTCAACACGCTGCTGCTGGGGACGAGTAGGCTCATGTAGGACCAGAAAATGTTGGGTCACAAAACACACTTGTATCTGTTTCTGCAGGGTGGGAGCAGGAGAAGACCCATAATAATGGCCCCTTCCAAGCAAAAATACCTTAACCTCTGCAGTCAGAAGTTCTTTAACATCTGTTGGTAGCGAGGACTCGAAGGAAAAAGGGTCCGAAATGGAAAGATCTCAGATGCACGTGCTCTGTGCAGGCTCCCTAATTTAAGCAAAAGGAGGTAAGTTACAGGGTATTTCCACAAGCAGCAAGGAACAGAAACTTGGGATGAGATTACGGATGCCCTTCATGTTAGTAGAGCTATTTGGTGGGGAAACTGTGATCCTCACTTGGCTGAGTCTCAAAAAGAAATCAGAGTCACCAGCTCCTTTTTAAATTACAAACATTCTCGTTTTCTTTCTTTCCC